TAAATTTCTCATGTCAAAAAACTTTCAGATACCAATTTTCATCCGAATATTGACGTTACTTCAGAAATTATTTGGACAAAATCAAAATAAAAATGAAATTTCTACACCTTGTATCTCCGAAACTAAGCATTTTCTGATATAGTACAGGGTGGGTCAAATTCGACGCTTTTAAATGGAAACACTCTTTTTTATAGGAGATAGACGAAAACTAATATCGGTGTCTGGAGCTCAATTTTCATCAAAAACATGATGGTGAAAACCGCACATCAATATCTGTTACCGTTTCGGAGATACGGGGTGTTTTTAAAATTTGTGCATTTTTAACAAATCGCTGTAACTTTTTTGCTATGGAAAATTTTGTATTTCTATGAAAACATTTCCAAAGCACCTTTTTACGTAGAACTTAATGGTTTAAGTATAATTTTTTTAAAATTAATAATTTAAGAGTTCTAAACAGAAAATTTGATTTTTTATTTGAGACACCCTCTATATTTTTAATTAACCGAAAAGAATTTAAAATTACCTTTCCAAAAATATAGCACACTTGATATTTTGTTATAATCCCCTTCGAAATACAGAATTTTTAAAAGTTCGCCACTTTTAACTAGTAGGCTTTGGACCACTTATTGATGATATGCCCTTAATGGAACTCATATTTTCCAGCAGAAAACATATTTTTCCAGCAAGACGATGCACCGCCTCTCTAAGCTGAAGTTATCAGCAAATTTTTGCAGCTAATTTCAAGAATAATTGAATAGCTAACCAAGATCCCAGCCGTTGGCCGTCGAGGCCGCCTGACTTAGTGCCCATGGATCTAATCCTATGGATATATTTGGGGAAGAATAAAGGTTCCTTATTCTTCCGTATAATCTAGCCAAGAATTAGAAATACTTAGCAGTTATGAGAGGGTATCTTACTTCACTGAGTTAATGAATTCAGCGAGAAATGTTCAAAAACTGCCCCGTCTGTCCATAACAGAAGACGGTCGATATGTCGAACACCTGTAACAAAATCTCATGTCTTGCTTTGCTATTTATTTTTATTGTTATTAGATATAGCTTAAATGTGCTGATGTTGGTTAGATATATTCTATTTTGTTACAAAATTCTTATTCTAAATTGTTATAAAATTGTGCATCTCTGATAGCAAATATTATTTTCGTTTTAATTGATGCTCACAGCTAGAATTTTTTCAAAGCCTACTTATTTAAAGCGGGCGAATTTTTATATATTCTATACCTCGAAGAGGAATCGAGCAAAATATCAAGTGTGTTATATTTTTGGAAAGGTAATTTTAAATTCTTTTCAATTAATTAAAAATATACAGGGTGTCCTATATAATACATCAAATTTTCTGTTGATAATTCTTAAATTATTAATTTAAAAAAAATATACTTAAACCATTAAATTCTACGTAAAAAGGTGCTTTGGAAATGTTTTCATAAAAATACAAAATTTTCCATAGCAAAAAAGTTACAGCGATTTGTTAAAAATGCATATTTTTGAAAAACACCCCGTAACTCCGCAACGGTAACAGATATCGATATGCGGTTTTCACCATCATGTTTTTGACAAAAATTGAGCTCGAGACACCGATATTAGTTTTTGTCTATCTCCTATATAAAAGGGTGTTTCCATTTAAAAGCGTCGAATTTAACCCACCCTATACATTTATATGAACTTTTTTACTTATTTTTATTTGCAGAATATGATGTCGAAGTTTCGGGAATACAGTTCGGACCACCCTGTATAGTTTTTATTTATTTACTAACGAAACTCTCTGAAACTATCGAAATACTCATATCTTAGGATTATGTAAAACGGTCAGAGTGGAAGCCGAAAATGCATAATATACAGGGTGTTCTATTTAAAAAAAATCATCCCGATCCTCTCAATCTTTTTTAAGCCACCCTATAGAAGTTAAACTATTTTACTGAAATACATCCTAATACATGCCTTGGGTTTGGAAAAAACTCTCAATTTTCTTATTCTAGGAGCTACAGATGCCCGACACACTATTGTCGGACCAAAATGCAGTAAAATAAAATTTATTCTTGTCTCTCTACTTGAAAAAAAAACTTTTAACTAATCAATTATTTTTTTGCAATAGAATAATAAAATTAACTGCCCCTGGTCTTGATAAACTTAATCAACAACGTCCACTGTTAATTTGCAATTTAAATTTTCAGCTCGAGCAAAAATAGATTTTTCCAGTTAAAAAATAAAAATATAATGTAAATTCAGTAAATCAAAAAATAGAAAAAATAACCAAATTAATCCTTGAGTGGAGAGATGCAATTTTTGTAACTGTTTCGCAGACCAGAATTTTAATAAAATTTAAATTTGAAAAAGGATGAGGTGCTTATTTGAAAGACCTGTCTAGGTCGGGCTTCCGTAATATGCAAATTGTCCTCTTGTTTAGAGTGCAATTTAAATTAAGGTAATTCAGTCCTGGGTTGGACGAAGCTAATAATTGTTTATTTAATGCGAGTTATGATTAACTAGTTTATTAGGTTGTCTTGAGCGTTCATTACCAATGTCTAGTTTATATTAACATTTTGGAATTACTTTGCGTTTTTGTATTTACCTATTTAGGGAAAATATCGAAATTTCCAAATCTACACTCTGATCTACCCTTGTTTTCTTAGTTAATTGCTCAATTTTGGACATGTATAAATGATAGATTAATCCATACCCATTTTTGTGATTTGCTAAGCACTTTTATAGGCTTGGTGCATTCTCCGCCGGTGCTGCCACCGCCCGAGAATATCGTAAACAACTAGTACTTACAAATACACGGGTTTCAATAGCGAGAATACGAAAAATTTATTATGTAATTATTCCAAAAGTGTTAGGAAGTCTAATTTGTGAAAATAAAAATAAAAAGTAAATATTTTGATATCTTCAGAAGGTCTAACTTGTAATAAAATTTATTATTCCAATTAAAAAAAAAACATTTTAGATGAGTTCAACTACAGTAGCGAGCACCGGTTTTGCTAGTGGGGCATAATTGGGGCTATTTCGGCTATAACAAAAATTTTTACAGGTACATAATTATAATCTTAGAAGATGTTCATAAAACATTTAGTGAGAAAAAAAATAGTTGATTAAAAAAAGTATACCCTTAATATTGCAAATTATATTTTATCCTCTCATAGTATATGTCTATTTAATTTTTTGATTATGTAATGAGCACTTTGTTTGCTCACTTGTTTCGTCGAGCTGTTTGAATCCATTTTTGCTTTTGATCAAATCGGTGTGAGAAACTATGAAGCTATAAAGTGTTGTTTCGGGAGAGTTGAATATCCGCGAAAGTTGAGTTATTGAATGTTATTGTACCCAATAACTCTCTAATTTCACTCTCCTTTACGAGTTAACATTTTTTCGGCAATTGTCACAACACAACACGACGCGCGACGGCGCGGCGGCGACGCCTAGTTCGAATTCTTTTTCACTTATTGTTTACTACCCGAAATAGCGTTACATCACACAAACTTCTTACCTGACTGTTTTATAGTCTCAATAACTGCACTAGCAAAAAACTAAAATACTTAAATATTATGATAAAACCACGATTTCAATATTATTTTAATGCGATCAACATGACGGCTACGTGAAATAGGTACTGATAATTTCTGTTTTTTTTTTCGTTGAAGCGCTGCGGTCGGAATTTGTTGAAATCAACTGAAATGCACCAAGCCTATAGACTTGTTTAATTATTTTTTAGTAAATATTTTATTCCCAAAAATAATAATAATAATAATAATAGTATAAGTGACGAAGAAAAAACATGGTCCATAGTGGAAGACGCAGAAAAGCTTACCCGCTGGAAAGAATAGGCTCTACACGGAAGGTTTCCCCATGACGTAGACCAAGACACTGTCGACAAACAAGCGTCGTACAATTGGTTAAAACGTGGAGAGCTACAACCGGAACCCTGAAGGGTTTTTATAGCCATCCAAGATCAAGTGATTAAGACCAATAACTACCGAAGATACATCTTAAAGGACGGAATTGAGTCTGACTTATGCCGAAGGTGTAAGAAAGCAAGTGAGACAATACATCACGTCATAGGAGGATGCCAAGCTATAGCACAGAGTGACTACAAATTTAGACACGACAAAGTGGGAAAGATCATACACCAAGAACTAGCATTGAAGTATAAGCTCATAGAGCATAAAGTTAACTATTATCAGTACGAACCTGCTATAATCCTTTAACCTGCTAAAACAATTAATATGAAATGAACTGGGACAGAACTGCAATAACAGATAAAAAAAAAATAGAACACAATAGACCAGACATAGTAGTGAAGAAGAAAAAAGAAAACAAAGCGTTGCTCATAGATTTTGCGGTGACAAACAACAATAACCTAACGCAAACATACAGAGAGAATATTACCAAATGTATTGATTTATACTTTGAAATTAAAGATATGTGGAAATATGATCGAGTCCGGGTCATCCTATTAGTCTATCGAATATGGGTGTAAACCAAAAACACTAATTGAATCGCTGAGGGCAATAGACTTAGAACCATACCAGTACCAACATTTGCAAAAATCTGTAATCCTTAACACCTGCCATACAGCAAGGCGATTTCTATACATGTAACTTAACCGGGAACGTTTCTAAGCCAGAAAAGTTATCACAATCATGGTGGAGACGAGTCACTCCTCCAACCACGAGAAACCAACGGATGTAGTTGAGATAAAACGACATAATATAGTTGTAATATAGTTCGATCATTCCTAAATTCAAGCAATATACTCTGAAGCGACTTGGTACAGCCCGTCAGTTCAGAATAAAAAACCACTTTGCTTAAACAAGTGAGAAGAAAGAAAAAGAAAATAATATAGTAAAAATGAATAGGCAAAGCCAGTTTAAAATAACAGAAAATAAACTGTTAGTACTGTACACGATAATAAGTAAAGTTTGTGTTTAAACTAGGACAAAAAATAATAGTTTTTGTAAATAATTTTGCAATAGTGAATTATCTTACCTGTAAACAAACTGGATGACTCTTCTTTTGCAAGCGAGAACAAATTCTTTGTCTTGATTAGAGAAATCTATATTATAAGTGTGAAGAATTAAGGAAATATGTAAAAATAATTTAATGAGTGCTAATTATTCGAATTTGAATGTACATAAACATTTTCTTATGTACGTAAAATGACAAAAAGTTAATTAATTTTATGTTTGGAATGTCGATTGTCTTTATAAACTAGAATCTAATATACTTTTAGTATTTTACCAAATATATATAGTAATATTTGCAATACATATAAATAATATATTTTTTTATAATTATTAGGTACTAAAATTGAAAACTATGATGTTATTTGTTATTTATTTATATCAGCTAATAAAACCTAGAATATTAAAAAATCTCCGTCAGTTTAAAGGCCTGAAACTCATAATTATTATCGATACTTCTAAGAACTACCCTTGAAATATAGTACAATGGATAGAAATCTTGCTCGTATAAAAGAATTCGAGCAGTTTATTACCCGGCATAAAATTCTATGGATGAACAGAATATTCATTTTCAATTACCAATAAAGATAAAATTATGTTTTTATTCTGCATAAAGATAATTTTAATAAAGTATCTTAATTTAAAGATAATTTTAATAAATATTTTTATATAGTAATAAGTCTTTATTATACCTCATTAATTTCATGATAAGAAAAAAAATATATATATCGGGATTTTTATGTTCAAAATGTATGATGTTTAGTTTTATTAAAAACTATAGGATATAGTTTAATAAAATGTGATGGTTACTTAATGTTATAGACTACTTTATCAAATTCTCTGAATGCAACATCACATTTAGATTTTTAATCTTTAACAACATGGATAACTTCTCTCAATAAGTAACCTAAGGAACAAGTGATTACTAATATTATTATATGCGTTGAAAAAGGATATTATTTGTCTAACTCCTCAATGAGTTGATGCGTCGGGAAGAATACGATATGTGTAAGAAGAAAATCGTCGAGAAATGGATCTTGAGCGGTAGCTATAATAAAATTATCACCACCACCCATAGCTCCTCTACCATCTAGCCTAGTTTCCAACAGATGCTCCAACATCTTTAGAGGCGTTCCTGCCATCACAGTATACCTGAAATAAATTAAAATGAAAATATATTAAATTATTAGTTTTTGAAATTTACAGTTAAAATATTGTAATAGGGAAACATTGACGCCATATACTCTAGATAAAAATACACACATGGCCAAAATTATTGCATATAACGATATTTTTATTTTATTTTGGACCTAATATGATTCTTTTTATATTTTTTGAAATATTCTCTTACTACACGACTAACTAATATAAAATTAAAAATCTAAGTGCAACTAGGCTGTTATTATAATTTTATTTCATAATCAGTGAAAATCAACAAGAACAAATTTCATTTCAAACAGAAAATATTGAAAACAATTTTAATTATTTCTCACAACTAATAGTCTGTATTGCCTCCTCGAGCCTCAATGAAAGCTGTGAGACGACGTGGCATGCTCTCAATTAAGTTGTCCAGAATATGTTGAGGAATGGCTTCCCATCTTTCGCGCGCAGCAATTTTCAATTTATTTATGGTACGGGGGGGGGCATTTCTTTTGGCAATATGGCGTTTTAGCATGTCCCAAGCATGCTCGATCACATTCATATCTGGAGACGTCGGTGGCCACCACAGTTGTCTTATATCCTCTTCCTCACAAAATTCGCGAACCGCTAAAGTGCGATCGGGAGAAGCATTATCGTCCATGTAAACAAATTCATCCCCCATTGCCCCTCGAAATAGACGCACAATAGGCTCTAAAACGTCTGTAAGATATGAGGCACCTGTCATTGTGCCATCAATAAAAATAAGAGGAGTTCGAGCTCCGTGCATTATACCTGCCCATACCATAATGTTTCCCCCTTGAAACGGGATACGGGGTTGAGCTGCATTCAAGCGTGCTCGTCTTTCAGATGCTCTCCAGACCAAAGTTCGTTGCGAGTCATATTCTTGTTTCATCACTAAACATGACGAAATTCCAATTAGGTCCATTTGCTGTCATCTCCTCAGCCGATTGTAGTCGCGTAATTTCGTGCTGTAAATTAAGCTTCGAAAAACATAGGGGCCTCCTTAAATGTAATCCTCTGTCATGGAGTCTTCTTGCTATAGTCTTTCTTGAAACATTTACTCCTTCAAGGCGAGCTAACTCATTTTTAATAGCAGTACTAGAAAGCAGGGGATTGCGTCGTGCAATTAGGGATATTTGACGGTCTTGCACAGCAGTAGTAATTCTCGTTCTACCTCTTCCAGGCCGGTCTGTACCCTCGTTTGTCTCCCTGATTTTTTTTTAATATTCACGAAACATCGCTTTGGTTAACTCCTACAATTTCAGCTATTACAACTTGCCGGTAGCCCTGTTGAGACAGTGTTACTATTCTGACTCTATTAAACTGGGAAATAATGTTTCTAGGCATTTTAAGGCCAAAACAATGGTCAAATTTCTTCTGAAACCCAAGAGATCACAAATCGAAATGTGCAAGAATTTGTAATAATATTGGGTCTGAACGATAAACATTACATATTATAAATTATAACCAAACCATATCCATTTTAACAAAAACATATTTATTACAGATTATCAAAGCTATGTATAAAAATGATTCTTTAAATTCCTTTTATATTTTTAAACGATATATGCAATAATTTTGGCCATGTGTGTAAGTAAAAAAGTTCTTATCAAATCCATTATCTAAAATATTTTATTTCGGAGATAGAGGGTGTATAAGATAAATGTCAAAAATGTATATTTTTTCCACGTTAGGGTAAAACCCAAAAAAAATATTGGTGGCGCCCCCTACAATTAAGAGTCATACTGACATCGAAATCGAATTACTTATATAAAAAAAGACTTTTGAAAAAAGAAATTTGCATCCAGATATCGACGTTAGTTCTGAGATTATTCAGAAAAACGTAAATAAAATAGAAACTTATACACTCTGTATCGCTAGAAAGAAGCATTTTAGGACATCAATTTTTAGGATTTTTTTTACTTAATACTTAATTTTACATATAGAATATGTTACAGTACCCCAATTACAATTATTCTAACCACACTGTATATCAAACTTAAAGGTTTTAACTGAATTGTATCGTTGTAACCGCTTATCAGTTCGAAGTAAATCACAAGAGAATATAATAAAAAGGTCGCAGCTTTGTTAATTATTTTAAGTTACTAACTAGGAATTTCAATACAACTATAAAATATGTTTTTTCAAGTGAAATAAATCATACGCGAGTTTCCTAATATAATACATTCAGATGCAAAAAAACGCCACGAAGAAATTTTTGGTCCATTTTAAAGTGTCATATTTTTGATATTTTTAGCCCTATTTTCATTAATATTTTAGCAAACTGTATATAATTATATCAGATTTAATTCGTAAACTCAGTTGTTTGTATAAACTTTAGTAACTGGCATATTATACAGGGTTAATCGAGGGGTTGTTTTTTATCCAAACTTTAAAACACCCTGTGCAATAATTTCGTTTGTAAATTTTTCTAAAATATAATTTTGCTGTAAGAACCATGTCTCCTGAGCATTTTGTTTTTTGGATCATGTCAATACATACTTTGGTTAATTTTTAAGAGGGAAATGATCTGATCACGATTATTTTGCAATTTTTTCAATTATCGTTACTTTTGATGTAATTTTTCAATATGGTGAGATGGTTTTGGTGGCTATTATTGTCGTAACGTCATATTACGCTGCATCGAATACTCTATAATAAATAAAAAGAAAACGTTAAAGACTAACGATACAGTCCTGGTTTTAATAAACATTAATAACGATAACAGAACTAACGATATTAAAGAAAACATCTCTAATACTGAAGTATACAAAACAGAAAAAAAATTGTAAATAAGCCCTTACTGTCCGTTCATATCATTGAGACTGTAAATATCATATTGCGCTATGCTTTCCCCTTCTTTCTTTAAGAACCAAGCGAACTTCATTTAATGAAGCTGGTACCGCTTCGTGACCTCTAACCCTCCTGCCGAGCATTTCCCAAACGTCGAATATGATGGGCAGTTTAATAGTATATAGTTCATAATAATCACCAAAGCCCCCTTGTCATATTGAAAAAAAAAACTTCAAAAAGAAAATATAATTGAAAAAATTGCAAATTGTAGGTGGCAAGTTCATTTCGCTCTTAAAAATTAACCAAGGCATATATTTTGGATCATATATTGACATGATCCAAAAAACTAAATGCTCAAAAGACATGGTTCTGACAGTAAAATTATATTTTAGGAAAATTTGCTCACAAAATTATTGGACAGGGAGTGTCAAAGTTAGGGTAAAAAAACAACCCCTTTATTAACCCTGTATAATAGCCAAATACTAAAGTTAACAAAAAACTGAGTTTACCAATTAAAGTTGATATAGTTATATACAGCTAGCTAAAAAAAATATGAAAATAGGGCTAAAAATAACAAAAATATAACACCTTAAATTTGACCAAAATTTTCTCCGTTGTGTTTTTTTGCATCTGAGTGTATACAAGGTGGTGCCCCTCATACGCCGCGGAGGCTCCAAGGAGAACGACAGTGTGTATTAAAATGAAATTTTGTGACTTTTTAAAAATATAGAGAGTTCTACAGGGTGTCCCCAAAAAAGTTACATATCAAAGTTGTATTTTTTGTAATGGAACACCCTATATATTAAATTATTTTCGGATTCTGGAAGAAAAATAAAGGTGAGTGTTATAAGAGAAGTATATGACTAAAATGTAAGGTTTTTGACATATTTAACATTTTCTAGAAATAAAGAACAATTTTTGAGTTACAATAAAAGCTTCAGTTGGTGAATGCAGTGTGGGGATATGTTAAAGACAGTGTTTAAAAAACTCGACCATCTATTGTCGATAACATGAGAGAAATTATTGTAGCTGCTTTTCGAGGTAGAACTCCACATTTGCCTTTTAAAATTAAAAAATCCTTTTGAAAAGACAATCATTTTATGCAGTTAACAGGAAAGGATGCATTTTGAGCATTTGATTTCATCTAGCTAATTTTTGTCACCTAATTATAGGTTTATATCTAGTTTTAATTGTGTAATAATTAAAATATGTTTTAAACAGATATATTTTTATTACCGTTGAGTATTTTATTCTACAATCTTTAATTTTTGTTAAATTAACACAAGGTATATCACAGCCACCCTATATTTTTTCAAATAATAAAGATCTACTGACGCAAAATCATAAAAATTAAAATATCTCGGAAAATTTTTGTCTAAGGGGTAGGCAACCTTAATAATATTTTGAAGATATATAAATTCCCCATCGAACACCGGAATAATATACTGGGTGTTCCATTTAAAATAAAGGAGTAATTTGCTTTTAAAAGTGACTAATGTTCCAAATTAATTTTGTTTCACCCTGTATAACTTTTCGGGTCAAATTTCAATTCGGTTTAACATAGAATGGTTACTGTAATTAAATATCAGGCTATACAAGGTCAACTAAAATTTAGGTAGCTGTTATCGCAATTTAAAATTTACTCTTCATTTTCACAAAATGTGAAATATGTCAAAATCCTTAGATTTTTGGTATATGCTTCTTTAATAAAACTCACCTTTATTTTTTTCCTAGAATCCGAAAACCAATTAATATATAGGGTGTTCCATTAGAAAAAACACAACTTTGATGTGTAACTTTTTTTGGGGGACACCCTGTATAATTCTATATATTTTTATAAAATTCTTTCAGTTAACGTACATATGCTGCCAAAATTTTATTTCGATATAAACTACCGTTCTCCTAACTAGAGCTTCCGCGGCGTATGAGAGTCGCCACCCTGTATAATAAGTAAAATGTCTGATAGCTATTTCTTTTATGAAAAACACAGAAACCGTAATTTAAATATCGTAGGCAGCATGCCAAACCTTAAAAGTCGGTTTAAAGAGAAAATGTGAATATATGAATGTAATATAATAAATTGCTTTTACATAATCCATCTTGATATGAGTTTCATTTATTAATTTTTTTTTATTCCCCGCACCTAAAAATACATTAAGTATATGATGATTAATGATACATTAACATGGATATTAAAT